CCGCGCCCTCGTGCATTCCCCTGCTTGACCCGCCGCGCCGGGCCGCGCCCCTGGCAGCAATTCCAGCGTCCCGGGCGCGCTCACACCGGCCGCCCAGCGCGCACACGCCGAGATGAACTTCTTCCAATCGTGGCTCGACAACACCCTCACCTACATGGACCTGCTGCGGCTCCTGCCCGATGCCCTGCTGCAGATCCTCGCCCTGAAGACGCAGATTCGCGAGGTCGCCGGCGGCATGCCCGGCTGGAAGGCCTCCCTCTGGCTGGAAGTCCGGCCGCCAAAGAAGGTGGCACTCCCCGCGCAGCTGGACACCCTCCAGGTGCTGGCCGCCTCCTTCCGGCAGGGGCTGCTGCTGGTGGTGGCATCCATGGTCCTGATGCAGGCCAACTTCCTGCAGCAGCTGCGCATGACCGGCTCGCCGGACGCCGGCGAGATGGCCCCCCACCCGGAGGACATCCACCCGCTGGCCCAGCACCACACCCGGCAGCTGGTGCTCCTGGAGGGCCTGCTGGTCCACTTGAGTAACCCCTCCCTGGGCGGGTCGTACCTGGCTCTGGTCCAGTTGGGCTCCCACCTGACCGAGGAGGCCCACTTCTGGGCCACACTCCTCCAAGACAAGGAAGCCACCCTCCACCGGTCCTTTTGGCACGAGGTCCCGGCCCGGTGCAACCCCTGGAACTGCCCCACATACATGGCTCTCGAGGGCCAGGTGGCTTCCCTGCGCCGGGTGCCCCCCTTCCTGCGGCGGCTGGCCCACAGTGTCGGCCTCTTTCGGCGGTTCTCCCTGGAGTGCGGGTTTAGTGTGCTGCCAGCGGGAACCCTCCTCCCTAGCAGGCTTCCCCCGGCCAGCCAGGACATCTATGAGCCCATGGCATCCTGGCTGGTGGCCCAGCAGAGCGCCGAACGCGAGGAGTCCGCCCTCGGCGCAAATGCCCCAGCCCCCGGGCCCCCTGTCGCCCCCTGCTGGAATGACGCCATCAACCACCTCTGGCGCGACCTGGCCTCCATGCGCGAGGCGCTCATGACCTACAATGCGCTGCTGCTTCTCCTGGACGCCCAGCGCCGCCTGCTGCCGGTCCCTTCGCCGGACCCGGAGCCGGTGGCCTCACCGGATGGCCAGCCGCCGCCGGCCCTTCGCCTCAGCATGGATCGTTGGTTCCCGAGGTGTGGCTCGCCGGCGCGCGTGGCCGTGGCCAACCCCCTGCCGGACTTGACCGCCGCCATTGGACGCGTGGAGACCCTGTTCATTGCATTCAAGCGCACTTCCAAGAGCGCCCTGGCTCGCATGTGGGCCGCCCGGGCCCCGGGCGAGGACCCGGACTTGGCCATGCCGGTGGAGGACGTATGCGCCGACCGACGGGTGCAACGCTTCGACCACCTGATCGGGCGCCTGGCCCTGGAGATCCGGTGTCTTGGTCGTGAGGATGCTCCTCCGGCGGGGGTTGCCGAGGCCGAGCACCTGCAAGCTCTTCTGGCCCAGGAGGGCGAGTTCCTCCTGCAGACAACCACACGCGCTCACACCATCCGGCGCTCGGTCGGCCAGCCGGATCTGATGGGCCGGGTTGACGCCGTGCTGTGCGATCTCCAGCAGCATGCTCGTGAGCTGGGCCGGCTGGCGGGACGCGTTGAGGACTTCGTCGGGGATGCCCTCGCGCGGCCGCCCGGCGTGCCGATGGACCTGGCCAAGCGGCTGCTGTTCGAGGACGAGGCCGGCGCCGTGCGCGGCCAGGCGGCCCGCCTCCCGGTCCGGGTGGATCTCCCGACCCCGGCTGACGACGTGCCCGACACCGCCGACAGGCTCCTGTGCCCGGAGGGGCAGGCCCACCAGGAGCGCCTCTTCCGCATGCATGCCCCGCTCCTGGCCGGTCCTCTGGCCGCCGCCATGTATGCATCCTCCGTCGAGCACTTCTCCCTTCGACTGGATGTGCTCCTGCGCCCCAGGCGCCGGACACTGGCCTCTCAACTGGCCTCCCTGTGGAAGTTTGCCACTTGTCTTCCCTGACCTGGGCATTGGACCATGCAGCAATGATACATGTAGCGCGCCATGGGAAAGAGCAGCTGGCGGAGGAATGGACCGG